CTTTTTAACCGTGAATCTTCCCATTTCCAAATGCCTTCTTAACAGAATTTTCTTACTCCACAAAACCCCGAAGATGTGCGACCCCATTCTACGAAAACCCGTTATGGTCAATCTAGTCGAGAAATTGCGACTTCATCTAGGGACACATTCCCATTAGCCTGATTCCCAAGGAGAACCCCGCCCCGGAAGCATTACAGACTTAATACTAACAGACAGTCTTACACACACACAAAAAAAGAAACCCGTCAGTCTTCCCCCTTCCTGTCTCAATCTACTTCCAGGAAAACCTTGGATTGCCACGTGCAATCATGTCACGAATGGAGAATAGCTATTCTCGACAGAGCGCAGATGTTCTTATTTACTGTTCATCGAATCAGGTTCTTACAGGAGAAAATATGCTGATACATGCAAGCAATTATCATCCTTTTATTACTCTTTCTTTAGCCTTTCTCTGCATGCACTCTCTTTCCACACGTGACCACACGCGACAACCTACATATCCGTTGAAATAGAGCTCCTTATCCTTGACCATCATCTTTTACTTTAAATTTATTTCTCCTCTCCTGATGTTTTCCTTTCTTTCTTCGCTAAAATAATTTTCACTTCCTCCTCACGGCGATAGTAATTTTCTCGTTAAAAAAAAAAAAAAAAAAAATGACCCAAACAATCGCAACGTCGTGGCCCCCGAGGAGCATGCGGGAGGGGATTTTCATTGAACACCCTAACATCAGTATGGATATTCTGGCTCCACACTGTCTTTTATACATTTCTTATTGAACTAACAAGGAAAATTTATTTGAAAATCCAAAGGTTTTGAGGTTTGCGATCATCATCCTAATCAAGTTCTCATGAGCGCCATCTTTGACTGAGTAGAGACACCTTAGTGAAAATTAGATGTCAGTACCGACAAGGAATAACTGGGTAAAGAAAAAAAAAAAAAAACCTTCATATCCGCAGTCCCAATATCTAAATATCAGTTCTACACACTGTCTGACATGCGTCTCTTATGATTCTACTTTTAGGAATTTTGGTCTTGATTCTCGTAATTTATAATTTTCTCGTGTTTCTGCTTGAAAATGTGTTGATATCGTTACCGGTAAGGAGAAAGTTCTCTTCGGCCATTCTGGGAATTGAGTGAAAGGCGTAAGACAACAACTTTGTAAACTTTGACATTGTCAACCTCATGGAATCTAGAAAAAATTATCGTATTACTAACATTTGAACGCAATTTCTGATACGCACAATACATGTTTACTGTGCAACGCTAAATAAACCTTGTTCAGGGCATTCAGTCCAGAGAGACATCTTGTGCATGGCGCTGTAAAAAGGACAGCGATTTTGTTATTGTCTCCAGGGTGTCAATCAACAATCGGGTTTCGTTTCGCATGCATGTTAGCGTGGTTTCTTTCTTTTTTTTTGTTTTGTTTTTGTTTTCGTGCTTCGAGATCATTACCGCACGAAGTCCTGGACTGACACAATGTCGCTCTACTGTTTGGTCTTCAGCGTGTCGGCATGATATAGTGATCAATGTGATACATGCATACATGCTTTTAAAATGCAAATACTTAAGCCGTATCCACTCATGCTGCGGTCCAGCTTTTCATTGTCTTAACCCACGTGGCCTAAAGTTGTTTTATTGTTATAATTTACCCTTTGGTCGATAAACGATGTCGTTGCAGCTTATTGTATATCTATTTCAGTTGAATCTTTCTCTCAAATCCCTCCCCTTGCCAAGTGTGGCTTTTACCCCTGAGAGCATTAAAAAGCTTAAAAGTACACATTTTTTTTGTAGAATTCGGAATCTTGACATTGATGTGCACAGATAAGGCGGACAGAATCGCCTTAATCCGAAATGCGGTGACAAGCTTTCAGATTTCAGTGTTAGGAGCCGCTGGGATAACGAGCTATAGCAAAGTCCTTGACATGTTGTAGAAAGGAACAATGACGATCACCTTTGTCAGGAAAAATTATCAGGTTTCTTATTAAAAACGCGAAAAGAATAGCACAAATTCATTTTGGGTAGAATTTACAATTTTACCGGATTGCTTTGGAAGGATAACGGAATCGACTTCGTTATTAGTCTTTTCTGGAAGAAAAGAAAATATACATACGCATAAAAAAAAAAAAAAAAAAAAAAAAAAAACTTTCACAGCTTGTTTTTTTTCATTCCGTTCGCCTGTCAACGTTCAATATCACTTTAATCAATAGCATTAGTTTTTCTGGCCCAGCCCCAATTCAGCCGAGATAGTCAAACCCCTCGTTTTCAATCCTTTCTATTTGTAGTAAACTTGCATTTCCCGTAAGTAATCTCTTTGTGAGAGGACGAAGCTTTCTTGTTACAAAATTAGTAACCTTTTAACATCTAAAAGCGGGTGTCAGATACCATGGATTACTTCCCTCGAAAGATGCAAATATTCAATCTTAAAACATGTATTAGTTCAATTTTGCTTTCACTTGTCATAATAAATTTTAAATGTAAATTTTGGGGTTTTTACTCGCCTTTATCTGACACGCTCACTGGATGAATCTTACCACATCACGTACTTACTTTACGTGATAAACAAACCAAAGTGATTATAAAATTCGGTTTGTTCTGTACCGAGTATTAAAAACGTGGAAAAAAGGCCAATCTAAGCCACTAAGCCGTAAGCAATCATTTTTAACTTTATACGCAGTTATCAACATTATAAATTGATCTATATTTTAACATTTGTACTCCTTTATATCATTATTCGAGAATTTGCTGCACTCAGATATTTACCATTCAGGAACAAACAAGAAGAACAGCTAACTTAGTTTCTCTTTAATTAATACGGTAGCAAATCCTTTAAAAAGCGTGCACCACGTTGCGAAAGTGGAAAGTGTAACAATATAAATATTCTGTTAGAAGCCATTGTGAAGCCAGCTGTACACAAACTGGTTCTTCAAAGTTGCGTGGCAAGCACTTTGCTCTTGAAGTTGCGTAAAATTCAAGCTGGGGTGGTTTCGTCTCAAGTTTCACGATAAGAAGCGAGAAAATGGTTTTGGTTCTATTTACCTTTCACTGTCGATTGGAGAACGAAGTTGGAATAATTCATGAGAAAAATATAATTTGTCTCCGGCGGAGGAAACTGAATATCCTCTTGCGAAGTAAATTAGCGAAGCAAGCGTTAAAAACCTTGAAATAAGCCTAGAAACACACGGAAGGACCCACGAAAGGGTTTTGAAAAATGTTCTGTTTTCGCGCAAGCCATCTACAAATTAAACAGTTTTCTATTACACGTTTCTAAACAATACAAAACACCTGAAAGAGAGGAAAGCTTTTAAAGGCTAGACTGTCTGTTTGTGTAAATCAATTTATGATCACGAAATACACACAGAAGATATCCTTCAACTCAGGCGACGTCCAGGACTACATCGAGTGACGCTTTTTCCACTTTGACTGAAACAGTAGTTATGAATGGTCGAGTGACATTGTTGTCATTAAGGAAACTACTATAGACCGCAAATGAACTGGGAGAAATTCCAGTTTCATCAATAAAGTACAATAAATGAGAAAATGTGTTTTTTATGCGCGTCATGTTACGAAATAGTCAAGGAACGGCAACAAGCATGACATATTGCGGTCGAATAACAGGGAAGGAACTGTCTTTCATTATGAAATTTTTTCCCAGAAATTTTACACTAAAGAAAAGTCAGTTCCGAACCACGGCGCTAATTTTGGGTTGTATTTCTCATCAAGAGCATCAATTATAAATGACATAAACTCCGCGGGATAGGCAAACAACATGATTCGTATTTTACCACGAACTTAAAACTGTTTTATTGACCGGTTCTGGGGGTAATTTTAGAACGATTTGAAAGAATGGAGATCGAGAGAGGTCTTAACGCGCGATTTATAGGCAGATACCGCTCAAAATAGAGTATCACTGAATGAGCTCAATAATGAGAAATAAATTAAACGATCGTATCTCCGAAGCGAATTTTTTAATAGTTTCTAGAAGCCAGAGGCAATTTGCCACCAACTGTGCTATGGAAAAAGGATTTGCTGCATACAAATAATTCTGAAACTTGAGAAAGCAGTTTTCACTTTTCCCAAACGAAGGCGCAATGAAAAACAACGTATACTCGCACAATTACCTCGTGCTAAATCAAGCCAATCAGAATCAAGGAAACTAATAGACAGCTGGTGTTGACGTTTTCCGCGGGAAAATCAGCCTAGCGTAAGATTTAGCGTGACAGACTATAGATTGTAAATTTCACTTTTCCTTCGCTTTAAGCAAACAGAAAACAAAATTTTTTTTGAAAAACAAGCAAATTTTATTCATATCACGAACGAACCGAATTAACACGGTTAAGGGTGCTTAAGTGGAGTCTGTTTTAAAGAAATCATATAAACTTAATGAGCTTTTGCATATTTTAATAGTCATAAATTTTCTTTTAAACTTGTCTGTCAATTTGCCACGAATAAAAACGATATCTGACAAGAATTGAGCGCCTGCTTTTTGAAGAAAAATGTTGGCGAGAGGGTTAGTAAGTTTGTTTAGAGAGTGGCATTTGTGGCTAGAGTCAGTTTAGGTTTATCATTAAACAGGTCGCTTGTTGATGTTTAGGGGGCATTTCATTGATGAATAGAAAATATATGGGCTTACGGCGCTTCAAAACCGCAATATTTAAACGAACACGTGTTTTTCGCACACATTTTGTTCTTAACTAGTTCTTCATCCCAACAGGCTGAATCTATTTATTTATTTTTAATTAGAGGGTGTCCTTATCGGAGCAACCTGAATACTTAGGCTAAACCGTTTTGGAAAATCTTATTTCTAATTCGAGGACAAACCTAAATTTTATTTTGTTTTCGATTAACTGGAAACAAGCTTAGCGTGGCTCGGCCATTGTGTTGCTTAAAAAAATGCATCATTGGTCGCAAGCGAAATTCTCCCAACGGGCGTCTTGTCAAATAATGCCTATCAGCCAATGAACGCGCAGCTAATTTGCATCGATGTAATTAGAATGCTTACTCCACCACAACTGGTGTTATTGGTGGGTACTGTGGGAGCAGAAAGTTGGACAAGACTTTTTCGGTAATTTTTCGCCGTTTTAACCCTAGTGGAGAAGCTGAAGCGAAAAAATTGAAATAAATACTATTTTTACTTCCTTTCTCTAGGTTTTTCGGGACGAAATGGCTTCACAGCCGTCCCAGAGACCTCGTCGAAATGCTTCGCCTGCATCGAGCTCCAAACTACAACCTATGCGGGCTACTTTACCATTTTCGCTGATATCTCCCACCAATCCGAGTACTACTCGCGGAAATGGACTACGAAGACCAAGTCCATCTTCTTCGCCAGTTCATGGGAATGAAAATGGCCTTAAACACCGAAGAAGTTCTCCTGAAACACGTGGGTCTCCTGAGCATCGTCGTAGTCCTTCTTCTCCATCTTCGAGCTCGAAAGGTTAGCTGACGTGCTCTTTTAAGTAACTTTAAAATGGGTTCTGAAACTTAGGATATCGACTTGTTATGACTGAAAAAGTTTTACTGTGCCAGCTGTGATATATCTTTTCATTCTTCTCGTTTAACATCGATGTGATAAGCCGGTGAATTTCGCTTTTCTTCTAGATCTATCGGTCATCCTCTCTCCGTTCAGTGTATTGACTTTGACTGAAAGCCATTTCCGTTGCTTCAAAACAGTGTGGGCTAAGCTTACTGACACTGAATTTAATTTCTGTGCAGGTGAGAGAAGTAAACTGTCAAAAACTAGTTCGAGCTCCATAAGAAGAACGTCCTCTTTAGACGCCATTTCACCTTACATGAGTGGACAGTGGCCGAAAGACGTTGGAAATTACGGTCCGAGTGTATGCCACAAATCAACTCAGGTAAGTTAGGTACCGCTCACTTAATAATACATTTCTTAAAAATTTGCCAAGTTGCAGGCTTATTACGCGAATTTAGAACTGGAAAGGTCGTTATATGTTCGCTCGAAAAGGGGTAAGCTGAGCAAATTTACTTTGCCGATACACTTACTAAACCACAGCCATGACAACGACATTGATTCCCAAGCAACTTTGAAATTTGATGATCTTAGCTGTGAGTTAAGTTTGCCTTAACCCGTGTGATAGAGTCTACTTCACAAAAGATATTGCAGAAATGTTGCAAATAAAACCTTGAGATAGCAAAGGAACAAAAATATTGTGGTAGAATATTTTTGCATGGAGGAAAGGACTTTGAGTTTGATTAGGGGTCAAAGAATCACTTCTTAAAAAGTTATTTTGATCCTGTTGATTAGAGCCAGAGTGTTTGATTCCGTTTTCATTATTTTGAAATTACAAAGTGAATTTATTTAAACGAGGAAAAGCTCTTTGCTGCAAGAGATGGAGTGTATATTTAACCACTTGGAATAGTTTTTGGTAACTGGCTCCAAATAAGGAAAACGCCTTTTTTAAGTGCCAGTAGAGACCCTGTTTACAACTTTTATGCAGCTTTCTCCCTTGGCTTGCAATGAATTTTACCCATGCTGTATTAGATATCTCTATCTGTGCTGAGTGAGGTAGTTGCGCTAGAAACATTGTTGGTATAAGGAAATGGTCTCTCGTTCAACTGTATTTACTTAAGTTTTTAAGTAAAATTGACAGTTACAGACATGATGCCATAAGACTTGGAAAGCATTATTTGTAGTCTTTGAGGTAAGCTTTCTAAATTTTGGAAAGCTTGAATCTGTGGTTCCAATGACTTTGTGAGTAACAGAAAATATTTTCAGCAACAATAGTTTAAGTAGCCCTTCCAAGTCTGAACCTACGGCTAAAGGGGTTGACATCGCTGCGAGGACTTGGAAGGAAGAAACTAGAGAAGGTCCATGGTTAGGCTTGGCTTAATCTATTCCTCAGAGATGGTCACCTTTACATAACAACTATGCAAGAGTCCAAGTCAACTTTTGAAGTTTAAACCTGGAGGCAATTTTCCGATTATTTTATTTTATTTTATTTGGTACTATTTTTTCAAGGTTAAGGACACCCTATACACAATGGAGTTTTAGTATACTCATTTCCAGTAATAAATCTCGGAGAAGAAGGGTTGAATTATTGTGCTGAAAAGCACATTGATGAAAAAGTCCTTCTTAATGATGTATGACTCCTGAAAGGATCATGTGAGCTTAAATAAAACTAATTCTGGCCCTGGCAGGGGGTTCATTTCATTGAGATTCATCTACTTTCTTTCAGTGGAAAAGATTGTTTTCTTTACCCATCGCATAAGATCAGGGTAAAACAAAGCATAATTTTCACCTTTGCATTTTCTTAGCGCCAATTTCTTATCAAATTGAATACTTTGGCAGTAATCCTGTCTGATACTGTACAGTACTGACAAGTTAAACAAGGCTTTACAGATACTTGAGCTTTAAATCCCATGTTACTTGGGAAATAAACAACAAGATCATTTCTGAAGCAAAGTTTTCTGTGCCTCTTATTGAACCCTCGACTGTCTCAGTTTGAAGGTACAATATGTACGCAGATGTAACCTTTACTTTTCAGCTGTTTATTGTAAGTGTCACATTTTGGAGGAAGATTAAGATTTCTTTAAACAATTTCTGGTATCCCTAAAACCATCATTACTCCATCAATATTTTCCCCTTTTAATGTGAAACTCATTCTTAAATTGTCACTAAGATGCAAAAATCACTATTTTACAAACTTTACTCCTGAATGTACACCAAAACCTAGATTTTAAGTTTTTTTTGTTTCAAGTTGCCTAATGTGCTTTGTAAATAGTCTGCAACAAACCATTTTTGTGACAAAGTTCTTTATTTTCTTCTTTCTTGTTAGACATTTTAAGTGCACGTAAGTTGTTGATATGAAAGAAAAGAATTAAGTTGTAGGTCTAAAAGCACAGATGGTACTGTTTCAAGATAAACTAGGCACAGAGTTTGTTATTAGTTAAGGGCACATGCACTTAAACACTGCTGAAAATGGTACTTAGGTTGAAATTTTGCTGGAATCAGACAACATTCCTAAGAGCATGTGTATTGAATTCCATTTTCTATTTGAGACCATGTATATATTGATCTATTGGAGTTGTATTGTGGTTATGCTGTTGTTACTTTTAGATAATTGTAAAGGATTGTTTGTTTATTTATGAAGTATGGCAAATTTCAACAACTCATTTGTAAGGCAGACTTGTATCAAGGCTGAATCCAAAGTTGGTGTGTTGGATAATCAACAACATGGGAAGATGGTTGGGGTACTCTTTTATCTGTGTTCTCTCTCCTGTTGGGATTATGAATTTGTATTCATCAGGAGAGCAAAGCACAACGTTAAAAATATGCACAAACAAACTTGCATACTGTTTAAAAAAGGGAAGAAAATGTAAGTTAAGAATGTAAGTTGGTAATAGAAAGACTGTCTTGGTGTACTGGATTAGCCTAACCAACTGTCTGCAACAGTACGTGATATATTTAGGCTTTCTTTGTGTGAACTTTGACAATGAAATCAACTCTTAGTCACTTATTTTAAGAACTTGTCAGGGTGTTCATAAAATTGTTTGATTATACTTGGCCTTTTGGAAGAGTGAAAAAGTTAAAGTTGGTAATTGCTGAAGTCTTATAATTTAACTGTTTTAGACAACCTGTCACTTTTGTTCCTTTTCAATATGAAAAATATTAAAGTTCCAATGTAAGATTCACTTTGGTCAAGTTATACCATTTAGTTTTATCTTTTGTTTGGCTAGGCTTCTGTTGTTCTTTCCCCTGTCATTGCTCAAAATTCTGTTTTTATTAATCCAGCAGAGAAAAAGTGACTTCTGAATTTTTCAGGGTGATTGAAACTGTCTAAAAAAAAAAACTATGAAAGCATACACATTTTTCTAGTCCCAATGTAGAAAAGCTAAAGCAGAGTTTATTATTCCATCTAAATATTACTAGCAAAGAGGAATAATTATAGTGAGAGGTTCATTCACAGACTTGCATGTAAAAGGGGCTGGTGCCGTTCTAAGTAGGAATTTTTTAGCAGTTTTTTTAGTGTACAGCAGGTGGAGAATTAACCCAGAAATATGGAAAAGTTGTAATATGTCACTTGATAACAGCAGTGTTTAAAATGGCTGTCTTGCAAAGTTGTCTCATTTTCATGAGTAATCAACAGATACATTTGATGCCCATTGAATTAAATTTTTACAAGAAGCTCATGCATAAACTACAAAAGAGTTTTTTTGTTTTGGTTTTTTTTTTTTTACTCCTTTGGAGGTAGGAAGAGTTGCTTTTTAGATCAGATAATGTTTGGAGAGTCGAAGACCAATATTATATTCAGCAAGTATAGACTGTTAACTTCTTTTGCATTTAACTGTGAATGCTTGTGAGAAAAACTTGTTTTGAAGTGATAATTGCTTTGACATAATTTTATTCGCCGGCTGATAAGAAACCTCAAAGTGCACCTAAACCCCCAATTTTTCTTTTTTTGCTTAATAAAATAAGCATATTTTTTGGAGTATTTCTGTGCAAAATTTTTTTTATTTGCTCAAATCTTCAATTTTTTGTACCCAGTCAAAATATGGAAAATCGGCCACCATCTTGCCCCACGACCAAGTTTAAAGAGGAGTGGCTCTAGCTAGTACTGTGACGTCAAATCGAGGACACGAAAGTCTGCATTTCACACATTTTCACTTGTTTGGGAAGGTTGTTGTCAATATTGTCTGAAAATATACCGACTAAGTGTGTTGTAGAAGGATGTAGCAATGTGCAAAATTTGCAAGAGGGTATCGCGCCTCATACATTCCTCATACAACACACCTAGTCGGCATACTTCAGACAATATCGACGACAACCTTCCCAAACAAGTGAAAATGTGGGAAATGCAGACTTTCGTGTTCTCGATTTGACGTCACATTACCTGCTAGAACCATTCCTCTTTAACTCGGTCGTGGGGCAAGATGGCGGCCGATTTTCAGTATTTTGACTGGGCACAGAAAAATAAAGATTTAAGCAAATTAAAAAAATTTTTCACAGAAATACTCCAAAAAAATAAGATTATTTCGTTAAGTAAAAAAAAATTTTTGGGTTGAGGTGCACTTTAATAAAGGGGTGTGTTGTTATGGAAGGAACAAAAATCTGTTGAGAGATGTGTAGAACCCTTTGTTTCATTCATTCTGAGGTATATGAAGAAAAATATTGCAGAATTGAATGGTTCAAGTTGTTTGGTGATGTGATAACGTGTTGATTTAAGCAGCAGTATACATCCTGGTGATTTCTAATATGACTGTCTTAAAGAACATTCTCAATAAGAAATGATTAATTTTAGTATTGTTTATCTGCTTCTAAAGAGAGAAATAGATTCTCATTGTGGCATTACTAGAATGAAGCTGCTGTACTGCTTAAATAACAATGTATTTGTTTTTTTTATTTTATAGACACCAGTTTGGGAGGAGGGGGATAGTGAGGATAATTTAGGAACAAGAAACAAGAGATCAAATTCCCTGGGAAGTGGAGACCAGAAGATTAAAGAGGTAATCTCTCCAAACTTTATGGCAACCTGCCTGTGCTTGCTGGCCTTCCACTCCCCTATTCCCCACTCTCCATTCTACACACCCCTCCTGGAATTCTAGAACTCTACTCAGAGGCTGGGGAGCAACAGTTTGTGTTCAGATAAGAGGGGAATGTGTTCCAATACCTCCCATAGGTCTTCCTTTCTTCCTGTAACTCTTTGATAAAAAAAAAAAAAAAAACTCTGGCTCTGTTAGATAATTACAATTGATGAAAGCCACGTTTGCAAGGTTAAGGTTTGCTTGACATGTCTTTTTAACAATATTGTATAGAAATTGAAACAACATCTCCAGCGTACAAAGCAAGGCAGTAAATCAAGCCATACATATGGCCGCCAGTCTCCACTTCATGGTGATCATACAGCAATTCCAGCAAGCCGGCTGCCTCAGTCAATTCCTATTTCAATCCCTTTGGGTCCAAGACCATCAGAAGGACCTCAGAAAAGAAGCTTGGAGGGCCTAAACTCTGAAATTCAGAAAATTGTGTTGAAAGATGCTCCAATAGAAAGGGTATGTTTACTAAGTGTTTGTGCAACATATGTTAAGTTTAATCTGGCTTGTATTTTACCATTGCCTCTGGTCTGTTTTCCTTAAAAAGTAAGAGGTTAAATTTCATGGAAATAATAAACTTTGAAATTGATGTCCATCCAGGGGAGTGAACCACAAAATTACAAATTTGTTCAGCTTTGTTTGCCTTTCCATTTCTATAGAATCTGTTTTGGTTGATCATTATAATGATTTTGCTTACAGAAAGTTGAGGTCTTGAAGTAAATGCATTAATTTGTTACTTTGAGGAGCTGTATTGCTACCATGTGTCAATAGCTTCTGTAGTTGAGTTGAAAATTGTTATTGGGTATTTGTTGAAATGGGCATTTTTTTCCATCAGACAACAGAACATGTTCCCGATGGACGAAAAGCCCCTGTATTTGAGGTGCTGTCTGGGGCTTCTTTTCGAACAGTAGACAATCAGACTCAGACCCCCTTTAGTAATCAAGAGGGGCACGATAGCAGTGGCAGTGGTAACAGCAGTAGCAGAAGCCATTCTGCTTCCCCAACCTACCCCATTATGGCAGGGGCAACTGATTCAAGGCCCTCATCAAGATGTTCCTCAGGAGGTGCTGCTGATGCTGAAGAAAATGTTTCTCCTGAGCTGCCCACAGGGGGTCCTAAATATGCCTCCTCACCAAAGCCTAATAATTCTTACCTGTTTGCAAGGGAGCCTCCTGATGGAGCAGAGAAAGTCCCATTGCATGTTGAAGACACCGACAAGTAGGTGACCCTTTTATGAAAAGGAGATTAAGAAAGAGGCAACATGTTTTCATAGTGTTTAAGTGCTCAAGCCAACCAATCAGCATGTTACTGTATATTACTTGTTAGTTAAAAGAAAATTATGTGTTTGCTAAACTCAACATGGTTTTGATGAAATCAAACTTAACTATCCCTCAGAAGTAGCACGGGTCTAGGAAGCAGAAATTTTTAAGAAAAAGTTCATCATCTGATTGAACAGTGTTCAATTGAGTGTAGAAAGTAATTGGTGATTGCTATGGTTTTGCTTTATTTTATCATCTGATTGGTCCAGAAAATTCACTCCACGTTCACAACCAATCAGATTCAAAACTAAAACCAATCATGACCTGTTCTCGTGCATTTTCCCACGCTTCATGCAGTTTACGTAGAAGAAGTGACCTTTTTCAACGTGTCGCTGAACACAAAAATTTGGCAATTGGCAAGCATTTCCATGAAGCGCATGGTAGGAGGGATCGTTTGCATGATAGTCATTTTAAGATTCTCAGAAAGTGTCCAAGCAAATTTGATTGTTTAGTGTTTGAAATGCTTTATTAAGAAATTCAAACCTAATCTGAACGTGCAAACGGACTCCATATGTGCTAAACTTTTTGTTTAACCCGCAAATTATTTTCTCTTATTGTTCATTTTTAGTATTTATAGAACTTATTTTTATATATTCTTGACTTGATAATGACGTTATGTTAACATCGAAACGTCGTCGATTTTAGCTTTCTATAGCTTTTTATCGTTTTTAAATTTTACAGAGTTATCAAGCAACGTTTTGTCGCAAGTTTTTATTGTCAAATTTCATGCAGTTTACTTGTTTTTATCTCAAGTTTTCATCAATTCGGCATGGTATTTTTGTGGCTACAATCGGCTGTTGTTATTGCTTTTGGTTTTGCAGCCCTTAACTGAAGAGTGTTCTAGAAGACATGAACTGAAGCTAGGCTTAACAGAAAGAAGCTTGTTCAATTTGAAACTTACTCATAAAAATATCCCAACAAGCTTTGAAACAACAACATTTTCTTTTCTTTTAGGAGTGCATCACCCCAGATTTATGGCCCAGATAAGTCAAAGGTGAAAGTTCTAACCATCTCAAAAGGATCAGCATTTACTGCCTTTTCTTTACCTACCCTACCCTCCCTTCCCAAGATGGCTGTCACCTCTCCAGTATCTGGAAACCAACAGCTGCCACAAGTGGAGGCCTCACAGTGATAAGAACTGCAAGGGACTTGAGCAAGCAACAAACTGTTCAGCCATTAAACTTGACTAATCTAAAAAAAAAAAAAAAAAAAAAAGAAAGAAATATTAACTAAAATCACTAATTTATTGCCTTATAAGCGTTAAAAATGACTACAGGGTTCTTCTAAGGTTTCTACTCTGACTCCTGTGCATAAACACATTTAATTATTAACATATTTGCTTGAATTGTTCTGACGTACCTGTTTTACAAAAAGTTGATATTTTGAGCAACTTGTTTGGTTTGAGGAAGCAGGTGGGGGTGGGTGTTTTGTGTTTCAATAGAGAAGAACTTGTGGAAAAATTTTGCTTGGATGTGTTTATTTTATTTTATTTTTTTTTATTTTTCTCCACTGTATGACAATGGCTTGTCTACATGGCTGGCGTTTCTTTTCCAGAGATCAGTGTGTGTTCTCAGTTGTGTTGTATGGTAGTGAAGTCTGTAAGGTCCAGTTTATCGAGGCATCTGATGCTAAAGATCTTTAAACATTATTTTGTCTCAATTGAACCCTCTACCTCACTCAGTCTTGATTTTGATTCTTTGCAATGTCTTTCACACATTTCTTATAAATTGTAATCTGAGAGTTTGGTTTTAGGTATACAATCTCCTATTTTATTTTTTTCTTACTTTTCATCACCTGCCTGCTTGCAAATGTAGATACAGTGTAAGAAGGTATTTTATTTTAGTTATTCTTGGGAGTGAAAGGATAAAGGGATGGTTTGATATTTTTGTTAGTTCAAATGTTTTGGACCAGTCCTGACAAAAGTATGAAAAATATTGGTCAATATTTAGGAGAGAAGGGTATTCTTGTGATGCAGCATTTGACTTGGTGTTGAGACAAAAATGTAAATGATGGCTCTGGTTTGATTTTCTAAGCTTGAATATTTTTAAGATTCCTCTTTAAAGTGTATTTCTAACTTGTTGCCATTGTTTACACAAGAGGTTTTTTCCATATACTTGTTTTGCATGTTAAAGTTCTCTAGTTTCTCTTTTTTTTTTAACAAGTCCGATGTAGTGCTGGTATTTTGAAGCTTTCTTAATCAAATTTTATATGTATAAAAAAAAAAAGGAGCAATCACCCTTGCCACAGTATTGTTAAGAGGTGTTTGAGCGTGTGAAGATTGTATATTATGGTTTTCAGTTATCATGTTGAAAAAGTGTATTATATTGATAGATTTAATATTAAGTGTAACTTAATGAAGACAAACCTTTCAGTGATAACGCGTTGAACAGTTCAGGAGTTTTATATAAAAAGAAACCTATACAGCATTCATTGACTTAATTCTTAATGTATACTACAGTTCCTGATGTAAATATTTTATGGATTGAAATAACTATATGATACTTGTATATTTTTACACTTAAAAAGAATCAAATCTGTTGTAGATTTACTGGACAGTGAAGGCTGCTCCAGAGTTTGTGTACTGAGACCTGTTTTGTGCCTCTACTAACTGATCTACAGGCTAGGTCAGTGTTACCAGTAACCAAAGGACATAATCTGCCTTTGAATAACATGGAACAAGAACTAAAATTTTCTGTCAGGGAACATTCTCATATTTATTTTGTGGAATTGTCAGTTTCTGTCGAGAGATGTGTTGAGGTTGGTTTCCTTGGACTTTTTTAAACTAGCCCCAAGTTTTGGGTGTGATTTCAACATCTCTAAAAAAAAGTGATAATTATAGTGAACATTATATAATTATCAATGTCTTCATATATCTTAGATGCTCTCTATATTTTAGGAGAGTACAGTTACTTGGACATACATTTTGCCAAACACGTGTAACTTATTGTATTCCTACTACCACATACTCAGTACTATTAAAAATTTTAACAGAAAAGTCTGAGCATTGTTTTATACTTCTAGTCTCAAGTTTCTTAATTCTCATCCCTATGGTCAAGAATTATATTGCCAAGTTGAAATGAAATGAAATGTCCCATTAATCTTCCTGTTGGCAATGCCTGTTTTTCTGGACAAATCTACAGATCAGATCAGATCAGATCAATATCTTATTTGGTGGTACTACAGCATCAAAAATCTGAAATGTTGTGTCTCGAGGTAAAGTTGGTTTAATCAACTGAGTTGATAATGTTAATTGGCCACCATAAAGAGTTTCAAAGCTTACAATCTGCTCTTTGCCTGAGTTGATCATGTGATCAACTTTTGTACACACGAAAACAGTTCACTTTCGAAAAAATTTGTTAGCCCAGGCTGAAAGAGCACATTAAAATTATGTAACCTGACAATTTTCAGCCATATCAAAAGTAGTGACAATGGCAGCCGAAAGTTAGAAGCATTCGTATAAGAAAAAAAAACGTGTGCCACCCAGTCATACTGACATGGTTTTCCATACAAATCCTTGTAAATTCAAAAAGTTTTCACAACTGTCGTTAAATCGTTCCCTTACACATTTAAGGGCTCAAATTGCCTGTTTTTGAATTAAAAGGCGATCTGAGCTCTGTTCATGTTTATTATCCTTATCATCCAAGGGACATGAGATCATAAACAGCTTGGCATCCCAAACAGATGTGACCTTTTCAAGATACTGGTAACTTTCTAATCAAATAAGTTGGTCCATTATCTTGTAACAACAAACACTCTCCCAGTATCTTGAATCAACTCTTGAAGGCTGGACAAGTTTCTTTCCAATGGATGCAGGGTTTGAGAATATTGCTGAGACAATATCACTGGACACTCTTCTTCAATTTTACCAGGGGCATATTTAGTGCATTGACATATTTAAAGAAATCACATTTGAGCGAAAATATTTAATGGATTATAAAATGACTGATTTTAATTGATGGTAAGATCTTACAATATTCATCTTATTCTTAAAATGTCAAAAAATTCACTTTGTCGAGACTGTCAATATTCAGACAAGGTTGTGTAGATTAGCTGTGTAATCAACAATGTGATCATAATTCCATTCATCGTACCACCGACAGCTGCCCTGCTTGTACTCATCGCAAGACACTCTGGGCTGATAATCTCCACGCTTCGGCAGTGCTGGCTGTGGAGGTCGTTTTCCAAGGGCAGGGAAATTATGGTAGTAGTACCTTCAAGAGAAAAAATAAAAACAGGTCAGTGAAAAAAAAAATTTTTTAAATCCAGCAGTAGAATTAGGCCTTGGGACCTGGGTTGGAAATTATCTGCAACTTCAGGTCATATCAGAAAATCTTCCTGGTAATCTTCCAAAATAAACTGATGTGTATGATTCGGATAAAAACACAAGCAAGGTTTTCCACGCAATAAAGAGTAAAAGTAACCACATTTTGGAGAAATTTATTGAATTTATGCTAAGAAATTCCTTGCGGAAAGGCCCAGGGCAAAGGTCATACCCACAGATTTCAGAGCTTATTCTTGACATAAGCAACTAGTATTGTCACTCCTCCTGGATAAGTAGCTTCTGCTATTTTTCAAGTTTCCCCAACAGCTTGCAGGTACCCATTTACACTCTGAGGTGGGGAGAGGCAGTGTGCCAGTTTAAGTGTCTTGGTCTAGAATGAATCTAAACAGTCCCAACTAGAGCTCAAACCTGGACTATCCCACCCTCAGCCCAGCCCAGCCCAGCCCACAGAACTGCAAGGACACAGAATCTTCCCCCTTACTGGAGCAAGAAGGAGGCATGGAAATATTTTCTACAACAGCACCATTCTTTTATTGAGTTCTTTTCACTTACCACCTCTGTATAATAAATTTGTGTCCTTTAATCACTTTGGCTGCATTGTGTATCGAGGTGGGGTCACACTCCCCACGAGTGTTCATGCTGTTCCATATTAATGCCAGACCTTTATGAGGCTTCACACTGATTCCCAGTTGGGGGAATTTTGTCTCTCCACCTTCCTCTACATCTTTCAAGTAAACCAGTATGGTGGCAAATCGGTCTCGTTTCTCATCAGTGTCAACAATGCAGTCAGTGTGATTCTTGTAACCTGAGAAAGTTTACTACAGGGGTAAGTCAACTGTCAAAGGAAAAGCAAAAGAAAAATACTGGCTTCTCAACTTCTAAACATAAATCTGTATCAAAAATCCTTCCATTCATATACTTTAGCTACTTGCCAAAGCATAAAGGTGGAAAGAACCCGAGAGTGACCAGCATCTAATTTCTCCTTACACATCATTGCTGAATTGAAATATAGGGTCATCAGAAGAAAAGGAAATAATTACCAATTAACCAAAGAAGCTCTTGATTGTTAAACAAACACTTCCTTTCAGTACCATGGGAAATGTGTAAAGAATACTGTATTTACTTGAATAAGCGCAGCCCTTGAATAAGTGCCGCATCTGGGACAAAACGTTAATAAGTGCCGCACCCCTGATGCGGCGCTTATGAGAGGAATTCCATATAACGAGGAAAAACACTATAAAACAATTTTAACACAGCATCGGCAATTTATATTATTTAAATGTGATGTTCTTAATAGTTCAAAGTGACTATAATAATTTCTCTGCTCGGTTTATCAGGAAACGCTCAGGTTTTTTCACCGCATGAATTTCTCTCGTAGTTCAGGATTTACTATCAGTTTAACATCAGTCCATAGGAAAATTGACAGATAGAAAGTGTACCGTTGAATAAAAATATAGAAAATTAAAGTAAATTTGTCTGGTACAGTTTTTAAATAAGCGCCGCCCTTGAATAAGCACCACACTTGTGGCATGAAAAATTAAATAAGTGCCGTGGTGCCTATGCAAGTCATTATGGTGAGTACATGGAAAATATTTTGAATAGATATTTAGTCGAGAACAGTCCTTGTATTTATCGTCTGCAGGATCAACTGTTTGATCAGTATAATCCATAGATATGCAACACTTTTTAAATATGCAGTTCCTATGAAAATATTGAACTGAACCATAGAAAAACAGTTTGTTTATTCCTCACCAATATTCTGTGGATATGAAGTTATTTGGAACTTTCCACCATTTTCAAGCTTCAACCCTGTAGCCCTTGATATTCTCTCTGCAAATATTGTTGAAAATTTACTCTCTCCTGGATAAAATGCTGTGCTATAACTCCACTTAAAATGAGGCTGTAATGTTTTTGAAAATGTCTCATTTATGCAGGTTGTTCCTTCTGTGAAATCGTTCAGAGAAACCTTAAATTTGAGCTTTGCTTCTTTTAAGTATTCACGGAAAGACTTGATACTGTCGAAGCAGATAATGGGTACCTGCTTGTTCAACTCAGACACATACTTGTCATGCACCATAGTGAGCCTGTCACATTCCATATCGCTGAGAAAATTTTCAATCACGTAAGCACGGACACTACTTTTTGAATTACTGTGTGTAAGTGCCTTGAGTTTCAGCCCTTGATTGATTTCTTTTAGATCCTTCATTTGTAGTTCACTTTGAATAGAAAGCTAGAAATCTTTGAACTCATTAGGATTTTCATGAGCTTCTATAGAGAAAAAAATAAACAATAATTATTATAATTATATTTCAAATGGTAAATAAATTATAAGAATTGCTATAATAAATTAGCAAGAAATGAAGGATTTCTCATCCACAGGTCAAAGTTTAACCAGACATACCATATTTCCTTGAATGGGTGCCCAGACACTTTATTAAAATTTCTGCTAAAAGGAGGAGCTTATTCAACGGAGAGTGCTAAATCTTGGGGTGGGGACACTTAATGAATTTATTGAACAGATGATGCACAAGAAAGGACTCTGAGAGTATATGGAGAGAGAATGAACTGGAAAATAAATTTTCTTTTCTGTAATTGCTACAACTTTAACCTTAAAAAGTTACTATAATAATTATAGTGATACTAGAAACAGGTTATATAACATATACCCCTACTGTATTTAAGAAAGTGAGGGAGAAGGGTGGGTGCATATCTGAGGGGGGCACTTATCTGACAATATGGTCTAGGGGGAGGGTGCTTATTGGACAATATGGCAAAGGGGGCAAGTGCTAAATTGTAAGGATACAACCCAGGGGGCAGGTGCTTATCAATAATATGGCCTAGAGGGTGGGCACTTATCAAACAATATGGCCTAAGGGCTGAGTTTTTATTTTACAATAGGGTCAAAGGGGGGGTGGGTGCTGTCACAGTGTTTTGGGTATCGCTGAGTTTTGGGTAACCCGATACCTAAAAGACTGGTATTTTGGGTATCCCCAATGGAGATGACCAGAACCCTGAAAGTGAATCAAACAAGAGACTGTTACAAGTAACATGACATCCTCTTTTACTTGTCTTGAACAAAAAATAATTGCTTATAGACATTAGAAAGTTGTCATCCAAACTTTATTCTTGCACTAGAGATTGTGATCGGTGAAGAAAAGTGTTCATTTGTTGTGAGGCATCTTGGAATGAGCGATAAGTCAGCAGTTTCAAGTGAATTGCTTTGTATGTAAATGTTGTAGATCAATTTTATCCTTGGTTCAAATTTTATTTTCCTTTGTTCTCTGTCATGTTAATGTATGATAATGAGTTTGAAACAAAGGAAAATAAAACTTGACCCAAGGACAAAATTGAACTACAACATAAACAACCGAGGTGTATCCAAAACACGACTGTTTTGGGTATGGGGATACCCAAAACTCACGCACACATAAAACACTGTGACAGTGCTTATTTAAAAATATGGCCTTAACAGAATGAGTTGTCATGTCTTGGCACCAAAGCCAATCCTGTCAGTTGTAACTCATACTTAAGAGTCAAAGCCAGACGACTCCATTTATTACTGAAAATAATTCCCTTTTTCATTATTGGGCCATAACAATCAGTTCCTCAAAGAAAAAAAAATTGCACGATATTTTTGTTTGGATATGTATTTATATGAACTTATTTGTCTCCGTTATGGTTTGCTATCAAATTCTGTATATTTCCGCAACAGAATAGCAATTCGATTCCGCATTGGATACTAAGCAACAAAAATGACAGCAGTTATTGGCTCCTTTCATTTACTGTACAACAAACTGAAAACAGGCCAAAATGTTGAGATCTAATTACCCTACAACTTAGAGTATCTCAGTTATTCTAAAACGTTGAATTCTAAAAAAGAAGTCTTACCTGTCGATTTTTGTTTTTTGTCCTCACTTAGGTCATCCTTCGACTTTTTCACTTTTTTATTTTGATCGTCGTTCCTTTCTCGTGGAACCTTTCCTTTGGGACCAGTTTTGGAGGAAGGATTGAAATACACAACAATTGCTCCAATTAATAAACAAAGCAAGATAATGATGAGACCAATTTTCCACCTCGGAGATATCCCCTCCTGGTTCTGAATATGTTTTTTCGAATATTTTTTGGCGGGCTGTCTGAGTTCGGCCCTCTCTGTGTGGCCTTTTTTCGCTACTTTTCTGTGAGCAGCTTTCGTCATTTTTAAAGAGAAGTTCGGTTTGAGCTTTTGAACCACAATTGGACCACTCTAAAAGACTAAGAAGCAAACAATCATTGTAGTACTCGAGAGGTGCAAACTCGCCATCTGCAAAGCTGTGTACATTATCGAATTGGAACCCAGAGCCCCAGGTTTTTACACGTTGTCACGCCATTAGATTTAAATCACGCAATGTAAGCCAGTTGTCACGTATTTTTCTAACCTTTCATATACGTATTCTCGCCATAAGTGAAAAAACACATGGTTAAGGTAAAGGTGAAGGGTAATATTAGATAAAGTTAAACCTTTTCTATTGCGTAGATCTGATTTTGGTTTAGGAGAGCCAAATCTGTTCAACCAATGATCATTATTATATCAACCTAACATATGAAATAATTTAAGCCCACAGTAAAAGACAAACTTACAAAAGCTGTTCTATCGAAGGAACCTCAAGACATCTTTGCAGAACCAGCCATCTACATCTCTCCAAGTTTGTATTCGAAACGGAAACGGAAGCTTCTATGTTGCTGTGATGTTTTGATGCATTGTGGGTAATTGGTTTTTCACTTTCACTTGATTCGTGCATTTCGTCACATCTCTCGAATTCCCTCTGCCTGAAAATCGTACATTTCCTGTGTTTAGACTGAATTAGATGCGTAAACAAAATCATGGCCTCAAAAGTAAGTCATACATAGTTCAATATTTTACGCTGATGAAGTATTTTTTACGAAAATTGGGGTTATCTCACAAGAGTTTATTGTTGGATTAACGACATTCATAATTTCTAAATTTTAGAGCACTATATTTCCAATTTTAAATTATTGTTAGTGTGATAAACTTAATTGTGACGCTCTAAGTTGTATTTAATGTTAACTTAGATCCTTTCTCGGAAGTCTTCCATAAATGGAATTTAATCTTAGTAAAGTGTGGACAAACTCAAGGTAAACTTAATTTTTATCAACTTCCACATACGATCAAGTCCTTCATTTTGCTTTCAAAATTGTAGAAACTTGTACGTTACGTTTTTGATAAAGAAGCTTATTTGTTCCACCTTATAATAAATTTCAGGATCAAAGTACATTCAATCAAAGCACTTTACATTACATCTGTCATCTCAGGAGAACTTTCCTTATTTACTGCTACCAAATACTAATTATATGAATTTGGTTGAAAGAGAGGTTTACTTTTTTGTATAAGGTTCTCACAGGTTTTAAGTTTGGAAAATTTTGGGGATTATTCTTGATCCTTGAAACAAAGTTTTTCAGGGAAAAATACCCTGCAAAGTTAAGAGCCACAAATAATTCAGTTCCCCTGGGCAACTAAGCAATACCTTCATATCTTAAATGGAATTCAGAGACATTTAAAGTGTGCCTTAACTCATGAAGTGATAATAAATAGTTCCAGTTAAACACAAGATTCCCTTTTTTTTTAATACAACTACCAGAGCCTCAAAATTTTTGCTCTCGCAGCAAGATTTTACTTGAAAAATGTTTGAATTGCCTTGTTTAATGCAAAGAATAAACCCAAAGGATGACCTTAGGGTGCAATTTATTTTATGAACAATTCCTGAAGCACATGATTCTTATGTTTTTTTTTTTACTGAAGTTTAAACTTTTGAAACTAGGTCGTATTAACCAAAATTACTTTTTTTTTTCCAACAGGCTCTAAGAAGGACAAACCGTGCCGTTAAGTACTTTCCTAGTATAAGAGCAGTTGTCAATCAAATGGTTAGGAATGTTCAGCAAGGAGCATCGTTAAGTACATCAAGGACAGATACTGCAGTTTCTGGAGATGGATCAGGTATGTTTGACTTTGTACCAATATGATGGCTCTTGAATTTAAAAATTGTCCTGAATATCTTAATTAATATCTGACTGTAATGAATTGAAATCACTATATAAGTCAGAGAACTGTTTTTTTGTTTGCCCGTATATATGGATTACATGAAAATTCTGAATAAAGAGACATTTTTTTGCAGGGAATTGGCCAGATGCCAGACTAGGACCATTTGCACCTAAGGATCCTCAATTCCCTGTCCCTGGTAATGTTGGTATTGACCTAACTCAGCTTCCACAACCAGCAAAAAAAGAATGTGGGACACAAAGGCAGACAATAGCAGAAGCGTTGTTAGAACTGGAATCAGATGATATCAGAAAAGCAGTTGTTATTGATAGTTATATTTAATCGTACCCAATAAATAATGATACATAAAACTGACAGTATTCGAATTGATTTTTTTCTCAGTTCGTGAGCGGGCGGTATTCTACAAATCCTGCAATCTGATTGGTTCTCCCCATCCGGCCCGCTCACAGCGGGCGGTATCCGTTTCGCTTGAAGATCGGCACACACGAGGGGACTAGTCCCTGCGACTAGTCCCAGTGACCAGTTTCATGCGACTAGTCCCTTCATGTGAACTACACATTTCTGTGGTCGCAGGGACCAAAATTTAGTCCCTGCGACTAGTCGCACGAATTCAAACTGGTTTGACTCCGTGCGACCAGTTGCAGGGACTTGTTGCACGAAACAAATGTTTGTCCCTTCGTGTGAACTGTTTGTGCGACCAGTCCCTGCGACTAAAAGGTAAATAAGTCAATCACAGGTCAGTGTGATGCGTGACTTCCGGTATTTGTAAAAATTGCAGTTTCTATGAATTTTCCCTGAATTCTAGACTTCTACAACTGAAGAATAACAAACTATTTATAGTTTTGTAAACATATACAGATGTCTTGGAGCCATCTTGATGGAATTTTTACCCTATTTGACTCCGTGTCTGTTAAAAATAAAAAAAACAAAAACGGAACACGTAAAAGCATGAATAATCCAACTGAATAAGTCTAGTTCATTTAGGTTGATGTTTAATAGTGCTACGATGAAAAGTTACCAAATTTTCATTGTTTTCATGTAACACCCCAGACTAAGTAACATCTTTTGCCTCTTAATTTTCCTATGTTCTTGTGCAATTGAATGCCCTTGTGCGAACACCTTAAGGGACTAGTCCCTGCTATGGGTCCCCTCGTGTAAAACCTTCAAAGACTTGTCGCCGGGACTAGTCGCACGGACTAGTCGCAGGGACTAGTCCCCTTGTGTGTGCCGACCTTAAGAGAGAGGAAAAAATGTCTTGTTTTGAAATAAAATGGACTTACATTATTGCCTTGTTGTTTTCTTTGTTGATTCCTAGCATCTCAGGCCATTTTGAAGCGTTTTCGGCGAGTTAGCGCTATGTTGGTGTTCAACTGCTAAAAGAAAGAATTAAAATCTTTTTAAGGCAAACCAATAACATCCCATACAAACCTTTATAAATATAAAAGGTTGTGCAACACGGTAAGAGTCGCATCCGCTTTTCTAGTAGTGAGCTTGGGCTGCCTGCAGTTTAATGCAAAGAGTAACCCCAAAGGATGACCTTAAGGTGCAATATATTTTATGAACAATTCCTGAAGCACATGATTCATATGTTTTTTTTTACAGAAGTTTAAAATTTTGAAACCAGGTCGTATTAACCAAAATTACTTTTTTTTTTCCAACAGGCTCTAAGAAGGACAAACCGTGCCGTTAAGTACTTTCCTAGTATAAGAGCAGTTGTCAATCAAATGGTTAGGAATGTTCAGCAAGGAGCATCGTTAAGTACATCAAGGACAGATACTGCAGTTTCTGGAGATGGATCAGGTATGTTTGACTTTGTACCAATATGATGGCTCTTGAATTTAAAAATTGTCCTGAATATCTTAATTAATATCTGACTGTAATGAATTGAAATCACTCTATAAGTCAGAGAACTGTTTTTTTGTTTGCCCGTATATATGGATTACATGAAAATTCTGAATAAAGAGACATTTTTTTGCAGGGAATTGGCCAGATGCCAGACTAGGACCATTTGCACCTAAGGATCCTCAATTCCCTTTACCTGGTAATGTTGGTATTGACCTAACTCAGCTTCCACAACCAGCAAAAAAAGAATGTGGGACACAAAGGCAGACAATAGCAGAAGCGTTGTTAGAACTGGAATCAGATGATATCAGAAAAGCAGTTGTTATTGATAGTTATTCTAAAGATTTCGTCGAAAATTATGAGGAAGCAGTAGAAACAGAGGTAATCAATTCTGTTACTCTTTAGAACCATAGCAGTCTTCAGCCACAATCTTTTCAGCAAAATGTCTCAAGGTTTTTTTGTTCTTGATTTTAATTCCCAATAATCATGTAAAAGTAGCATAGTTTTGTCTGCTGCTTTTACACCCTAACATCAGTATGTATAATCTCCCTACTTTAACTTTTAACTTTAACTTTATTTAAAGAGGGAAGCGCAATAACCTGTAACAGTTTTCTAACCTACGGCCCTCGACCCACCCGTCCCACCCCAGGGGAGGACATCCATCACACAATAATCTCATGCATGGGAAATTAATGTCTCCCACCCC